TCAATCTCTTTCAATCTTTTAAACAAGCATAAGTAATTCTTACTAAGCCTTCCATAACCATTATTTATATTCAACGTATTCCCTAAATGATTAATTTCAATAGCATCTCTTATCTTTCGTTTTGTGGAAGAGATATCATAATCAGCAAACCTCTGTATCCAAGGCCATTCTATCTCATATCCATTCTCCCCCATGTGTTTCGCCACTTCTTTCCGTTCGACCCAACTGTGTTTACAATCAATTTTGTTCTTCTATGACTTCCCAAGTGTTCACGTTTTTCCAATTGTGGTCAGACTACTTCGCTTTAATGTAATACGTTTGTGGGCTAGTGGCTTCCTCTGTGCAAGGTCTACCCTATTAACTTTAGAAATTATATGTGTTTACTTATTCGGAATAAAGGCCTTAGTAATTTTCCCTATAACAGTTATATATATTTGTGGCACATCGTAGACAGTATGACGTTTCATGGAATGATGGAAAGTGATTCAAACGATAAAATATGGCGAAAACCAGAGTACGCTTATGAAGTTCTCTCTGAGCATATTTTATAAAATGTACTTTAATCCTGACTGAGGACTTGCCCTTAAGCTCATGCGGCTAAATCCTAAAATTATACCGCTAGGTCTTTGAAATAAGTGGCATAATTGAGAATAAGTGCGTTTCAAGTGCATTATGAATGCAGAGGGGACTTTTCGAAGCTGAAACGTTGAAGCAGATCTAACGGCGGTAATAAATAGTGCATCTACAAAATCAAAGCACCTGTTTCCTTTGTTGCGGAATGGCCAGTTACTGATATACAACGAATAAGTTACTTGAGAATTGACTATATTCCATATGATGCAATTAAATGATTTCAAAGTATCTCTACATTTAAGACTAAAGCTAGTCTATGGTTTATTGAAAACAATCCAGTTGCTAGAGTCAGAATTAGGTATACGAAACTGGATTTTTGAAATGTAAGTGAGTAAAATAGATGGGAGAATACAGAATAGGAGAGGTGTTTGAGCATGGATGACTAATGCCATAATCAATCAATATAATATTGGCTAATAGGATTCTTCAACCGAAATCAATTTTACCAATAGAGATAGTATATCATGTCCATGGAGAATTTAAATGAAAGCTCGCATTTGACTTGTTTCTCTTACTTTATATAGTTCGAAGTGGATGATGATAAGAATAAACACTTTTATCCCATTTATGAGGTTGATACAACTAGTTGACAAAAATATTTTCCACATAGTGGCTATTATTGAAAGTAAGCAGGGTTTCGAAACTATCAGTAAATCAGTAACATCAGATGTATTCACTCTATTTCGTTTAAGGTGATGAAGGACTGGTAGTAGAATTTTCCCACAATGATAT